TTTTTTTTCCTAATGTCATTTTGCTGCAACAAAATTCATCCAATAACGAATTTCGTTGCAGCAAAATGACATTAGGAAAAAAAAATTTACATTTTTTTTAACAGTCTGCAGAAGATGAAAAAAAAAACCCGTGAGGTTCCCCCCCAATAACGAATTTCGTTGCAGCAAAATGACATTAGGAAAAAAAAATTTACATTTTTTTTAACAGTCTGCAGAAGATGAAAAAAAAAACCCGTGAGGTTCCCCCCCAATAACGATCTTCGTCCATAAAAGAATTTCGGCCGGACTACCGCTAACGAATTTCAGGAAATCGGGAATTCGGATTAGTGTGCATTCGTCTTAGCTGTAATTCACTTCACTCTGTATGCGGGGCTATACCTTACATAATCCTCACAACTCTATGCTGGGAGTGCCGCCGTCAGGTGTGTGCAAAGTAGACTTGTGCACGGCTGAAAATTAAGTTCAGTTAAAACAGATCGATTCGAAGTTTTCGTTTTCGGATCTTTTGGAATCTATTTGGATGACATTAGGTTTTAGGAAACCCTATTTAAAAAAAAAAGAAAATAGCTTACCAGTCCCTTGATCTGAGCAGCAGCCTGGCAGAGCCGGAAACGAGGAAAATGATTGAGGAGGAGCTACATTGCTGGATGACATGATTGACCTAGTGATTACATCAATGGGCATTTTGTTTTTTTTTGGGGGGGAGAATAAAGGACTTGTCAAAAACTGTGTTGTTGTTTTTTTTTTTCAAAGAAAGGACTTTGGAGTATGCTATTGTGTGTTTATTTACCATGTTACTGTTATTTGGAGAATGAGTAGGGTTAACAACTACCCCTTACTCATTCACGAGGAGGTGGCGGGATCTGGATTCCCTCTTTATAATAGGGGGCACCCAGATTCAGATGAGTTCCCCTGCCCGCAACTATCAAGCCAGGGTTGAGGCCCTTGTCCTTATCAACACGGGGCTAAGGTGCTTTATCTATTAACCTTATCTATTAACAAAAATGTATCTTATTTGTGTATCACTCGGCTGTAGATCCTCAAATCATCTCTGAATTGGTGCTGACACTGTCCTTCCTTCTGGAGGGGGGCTACTTTTGTTCCCCATGGTTCCTGTGTGTGTTGTAAAGTAGCCACCACTCCAAGCTCACTCCTGTAATGGACTACAATCTCATGTTTAGTTTACTAATTTGTATTGAGATTGTGGTCCTTCATGGGGACCGGTTGCTGGTGTACTATCCATACCCTGTACTGCCGTGTAGTGGAGCCCTGTGCTCCGGATTTTGAATTTTGCTTGCAAATGGCGAACAGCAAGAAGCACTTATCTTTGGTCAGCGAGGTCAGAAGCGCTTCTCATTGGTCAGCATGGTCAGAAGCACCTCTCATTGGTCAGCGTGATCAGGTGACTGTGCTGACCAATGAGTGCTCCCCATTAGCAGTATGGGGTACAGATAGTGCACTGGCGGAGGAGAAGGAACGTTAGTCCAAAGGTAAGTATAGCGGGGAGGGAGCTAGTCTAAATAGGGGATTAATTCCATTTTCCCAAGTTCACCTGGAAAAGTGCGATTACACATTTGTAAAATGTACACTATACAGGTTTTGAGGATTTAATTTCTAAGCTGTAGTTCCGCTTTAAATATGGCTGCTGACTCCTTATCTATGCTTCACTACTTAATGATACACCTAGAAACTACATACCAAATTGGATGTCTTGGCTTCTGATATAAATATGCTTGTTCCAGGTCAGTAACTCATCACATAGTGGAGAAGGCATCAAGATGACAGTTTTGGAGCTTTCTTCTTAATGGAGCAGAACAAGTTTCACGTTTTATCTGTGGGCCCATTGATTTGGGAAAAGCTTTGTCATTACTTAGTAATATGTTTAAATAGTTAAGGCCAGAGGGATGAGCAAGCTTGCTAGCAGTAGATATATGCAAAAAAAAAAAACCTGAGAATTTAATTAAACTTTAACATGGCGGCAGCAATGCAACTGTAATAGCCACATAATACTACATAGACATGTTAAAGTCTGCACACAGACTTAGCAGACACCACCCCACCATGTTTGAAATCTAGAATGTAGCTATACGGAAAAAGCCTCTCAAGGCTGCTGTACTTTTCTACCCTTTCTGTTCTCCTTACCACCCCGTTGGTCAGTGAAGACACCCATTACACTTTGTAGCCACTTTGAGATTAGTGAAGCACTTTGCAGGGAAGCAAAGTCTGTGTGCAAGCAGTTGTTATAAAAATGTTTCCATCTGTCTTGCAAGACAGGAGACCTGGCCTTTTTCTTCTGCAGTGTAGTAACCCTCAAAGGCCTTCTCCCCACCCTGCCCTGCGACAGCACAGTAAAAGGAAAAGCAGCAGACTGATAAGCTCATATCTCTCTCACTCAGTTCTCACCTCCTATCAGGATGTTCCTTACACTGCAGAACAACTGATTGGCCCAGTCTGAACTCCACTGTACAGGGACTGTTAGAGGCTAATTCCAAGTTAGGTACTTGAACTGCTTGTATTAAAAATATATATTCATACATTCATTTTGCATGAAGCTCTGCTTTAAGTACAGCTGAGACATGGTTGTCAAGAGACTTAAATGATTCTTGGATGAATGGTGTGGGCAGGGAAGGAGCTCTGTGCCTACATCTGGAAACACCTTTCACTCCTGCAGTATAAAGCTGAGCCACACTCACACACGCTTCCCTAGTTGCAGATTTAAACATTTTAACAGAGGGACAGATGAGATCTCAAAGGTGGCTGCTGTTGTGTTAATGAATGTTGTCTGACTGAACTTGATGTATTAGGTCCACTCCACAAGCACTTGGAACATTCAGACTTGACAGAGAGGTTTGCATATAACCACTGTCATGATGAGAACTGTGATGGGGAACTGCACAGTGTATGATGAAGTGCAATAGTGTCCATTGTAGGAGTACTGCATCCGGCCAAGTACTAGAGGCACTGGAGAGACTTGTCAGACTGACTTCAGCAGTCTTCTTCCTTAGAGAAACAATGCACTGAGTTACTGAACTGCAGTAGACACCTAGTTATCCCTGCCACAATTCTCCAGAAACCTACCAGATCCTCTGTACAAAGAAAGTTAGCTGGAGGTCAGCGGTGCGTGTAACGCAGAGTGCAGAGGTCAGCGGTGCATGTAACACAGAGTGCCGAGGTCAGCGGTGCGTGTAAAGCAGAGTGCAGAGGTGAGCGGTGCATGTAACGCAGAGTGCGGAGGTCCAGTGTAACAAAGATAGAAAAGGGACTTACAGTGCTGATGTGCTAATGCCCTCTTCTTTCTCCCTGGGTGGAGCGGGGGAGCAGGTATGTTTCTTGAAAATAAAGCCCCAAGGTGCCTTGTTGTGCCTTGCAGGTCCGGCACTGATGAAATTCACAGGCAGCCAATGGTGGTGCTGCACTCTCCCTCCCAGCCAATAGCAGCTGAAGTGGGAGGAGGAACACACAGGTGGCTGCCGGCTGCCGAGATGCCCATACAATGAAGCAGGCAGGCAGCCAGCCAAATGTATGTTTTCTTCAGCAGAGAAGAGCTGTCAAAGGAGATAGTGGTTGTGGCAGCGGCAGTTTAAAAGGGGAAACAGCGAGGGGGGGGCACATGGGAGGGGCAAAGAATAACCTGTGGGGGGCGGTTGTCCCCCCTTGCCCCCCTGTAGCAACGCCTATGGTTGGTAACCTAGTTAGTGTCACCTCTAGGTGAGGAGAGAGAGAGAGGGAAAGAGAGAGAGAGAGGGAAAGAGAGAGAGAGAGAGAGAGAGAGAGAGAATGATCCATGCCAGACGGCTTTCATTAAAACCTCAAGTAAGAGGAGAATGGTTGGGAACCTATTTGTCGCTGCGAGGACAGAAAATTCAGCTCTATAACCTAAACTGTTCCAAGATGAGATAGGGGAAGAGAGAGAGAGAAAGAGACAGATAGAGAAGCATGGAAAAACTCTATAGGCTCAAACTTTCTTTGAACAGTGTTGGAAAAGTGACAGTTGTGTCTATTGTGATTGAGGGCTTGTTCACACCACATCCTATGAGCTGCATTTTTCTGCATACCAAAACACGTGTATGGTGTGACCAGGAAAGAAATTGTGAACCTGAACAAGCTCTCAATGTCTCGGGTGAGAACATTTTTGCCCATTACCTGATACTTTTTATTTTATGTTTTGCCCCAAAAAAGTACATAATAACATTTCATTGAGAGCTGAAAGAGATAGGCCTAAGAGGGTATTGTTAGGAATAGAGCATCTGTGGACAGATGATTCCAGAGGAAGGGGCCCTGAAGGAAAGGATAGCCTCTCCCTTTCTTAAAATATCAACTTTAAGCTGATAAGCTTATTGTTACAGTATAGACAGTGACTTTCCCCAGCACACTTTTCTGTCATTATTGCCACTTAATTACAACAAGCCCATTTTCCAACTCCTCCTTCTCATCATCATGTCAGTCTATCCCCATTACCAAACAATTGCTCTTCATTGGATTGTAATGAAAGATAGCAAACTCTTGAGGCAGCATAGTAAACTTGCATATTAATGTGTTGGCCACATTGTGTATTATACTTACTGGTTGTGCCATCTTGTTTGTGATTACAGGTGACATTTACTGTATATATGACAAAGTTATAATAATGCTACATGGTACGTGAAATGGTACAGCAAGATAATGATATAAGAAGCCATTTTGAAATATTGCTACCATACTTGTGGCCTAAATGTGATTTTCACAGATCCAGACCTGTACAACAGTGTGCTTTTTCATGTTCTCAAAGAATGTGAATTTGTTCCACCAAACATATAAGTCACAATTACATTGACAATTTTTATTTTATATCAATATAGCATGCAGAAAACAGTAGCATTAAACAGGGTTATACTGGAATGGTACCATTGCAATTCCTTTAGTGATTTCTAAACACACATAATATATGTTTTATATACTGTATGCATATACTGTATATCAGAATTCTCTGTAATTTAAAATGGTAAAGCTGCACATTATTAGTAGATATGCTTCTCAATGGATTCCAAGGTTCTCACATTTAGAACACCAGCACTGTTCGGATGCTGCATAAAGAGAAGACATAAATGATAAACTCGTGTTTACGTGTGTAACATTTACATTAAACACAAATATGTGAAACCTTAAATAACAATGTACACTTTTAATAGATACTGCAGCAAAAAGTGAAATGGCAATACAGACTCCTACTATACCCAACTTCTCGCTGCTGCAACCTACAGGTCCAGCCTCTGCCGGAGTAGGTACTGTTTGTTCCTGTGCACTTGTAGTGCTGCCATAAGAGGAAACAATGGAATATCTGTCTCTTGCTTATTGCTTACATCTTCACAGCTTCATATGTATCCCCTAATTCATATCAGTAATTTTAACAATGTTGGTTATTTTATCGCACAAAAATTATCTCATCAACATGTTCTATTTATATATATATATAAATATTGCATAGGTGTTAAGACATTTCTTTTTTGATTTACAGGTCTATTCACAAAAGGGTGAAGAGTTTGGAGAAGGCAGGAGAAGTGAACAATCTAGGACAACATAGCTGAACTGGAAAGTGAGCTGAATTGGAGAGTGTGTCCAAATCAGCTATGTTGTCCTATAAATAATGAGTAAAGTACCCCTTACTCATTCACAAGGGGGGTGGCATCTGGGTGCCCCCTTAATTAAAGGGGTACCCCCATGCAAAAAAGCCCCCATGCCCGCAGACCCCACAACCACCGGGTCAGGGTTGTGGGGAAGAGGCCCTTGTCCCCATCGGCATGGGGACACCCTCCCAATGCCGAGGGCACGTGGCCTGGTAAGGCGCAGGGAGGGGGAGGCGCTCGAGCCCCCCCCCTTTCCTGCCCTGCTGGGCCTGTGCTTGGATCAAGGGTCTGGTAGGAATATTAGGGGGGACCCCACATTTTTTCCCCATTCTTTGGTTCCCCCTTAAAACTCCCCCTTTGGTTCCCCCTTAAAACTCCTACCAGACCTAAAGGGCCTAGTATGGATTTTGGGGGAACCCCACGCACTTTTTTTTTGTTTTAACTTGGGGGGGCCCTCATAACATTTCTACCAGACCTAAAGGGTCTGGTATGAACTGGGGGGAGAACCTCACATTTTTTTTCCCCCTCTTCTGCAGACTGTAAAAAAAAAAAAAAAATTCGTACAGACGACCGCTAATGAATTTCGGAATCGGAAATTCGGATTTGTTTGAATTCGTTATATCTATAATTCGGAATTTCGGATACATCCGAATCTCCGAAATTTCGTCCGAATTTCTATTCGGAACAAAACGAATCGCACATGTCTAATATATGTACTGTATAAGTATAAGGAGAGGCAGTAAACATGGTTTCTATAACGAATAGTTTACTGCAATATTTTTGATATTTTTACCACATCACACAGTCGATGTGATAGCATCACTATTATATGCTCTTCATAAACCTAAAAATCATATAGATGTTGTGTATGACTATACTAATACGAATTTAGTGTTACCTTTAGGTAGTTTTAACAGATAATTTTTAAGAACATTTTTGTTATTCATTCTATCTGTATTAGCCTTCATATCTATTTATTAATCTGTCTATTTGTATTACCCTATCTATCTATCTATCTATCTATCTATCTATCTATCTATCTATCTATCTATCTATCTATCATATGGTGGCGGTTTGGCATTATGTGCGGAATTGTTTTTATACACACCTTTTTCCTTCACGCATGAGGTCAAAAGCTTTGTTAATTTCATCAAATGGCAAAGTGTATGTCACCAATGCATCCAAGTCAAATTTTTTAGCTAGGTAGTCAGCTACCAGCTTTGGAACATTGTCCACACTCTTCCAACCTGTTGAATAAATTAATAGGTTGTTATTTTGTATATATGATAGCCTACAAATATGTCTCAAACAATATTTGTATAGATTGCTAGCTTTTTTTAGCATACTTTTTTGAAGATCAATCTTACCTCCGAAAAATGTGGCTCGCAAGGTACGTCCCATTATCAGCTGGAATGGAGCAACTGGTATACCCTCTTCTGCCAGTGAAACACCAACAATTGCACACGTTCCCCATCCTACTGTGGTGCACTCCAGTGCTGCTTTCTGGAAAACATATACAGACATCAAAGCAAGGAGTATCAGCTACAGCAGTGGAGGTAGCCTGGATCAATTTTAAGTATGAAGAGAAGTTTTAATTTTTGCAAAAAGGTATTAAGCATTTTGACCCATACATCTTTCCTTTGCATCAAGTCTGACAGCACAGAATCATCTATTAAAATAACTTTTTTAAAGGATCAGTAGCCCAGTAGAGACTTGCTAAAAGCTCTCGGAGAACAATTTTATATAGAACTCAGATCAGTTTGTTATCTATGCTAACATCTAACCACTAATATAATACTATTAGCCAGGATTGCCATAAAAAAACAAAAAAAAACAGTTATTTTGCAGAATCGTGAATACAAGGTCACTTTTCCTACGTAAAACATATATATTTGACCCAACAAGTCACATGAAGTAACTACACAAGGAACAAGAATTTACTAATTCACTTTTGGACATATCATCATATCATCATATCATATGGCTGTACAGTGAGTGTACAATCTGAGTAGACCGAGGATAATAAAATACTTACCATGACATCAATAATTCCAATACACTCAATAGCAAAGTCCACCCCACCATTGGTCATTTCAGCTATCACCTGCTGGATAGTCTTGTCATAGTCATTTGGACTGATGCATTCAGTAGCTCCAAGCTCCAGTGCCTTTGGAAATTTGTCTTTGTTGATGTCAATGCCAATGATGCGAGTTGCTCCAGCTGCTTTGCATCCCATGACAGCGGAGAGGCCAACTCCACCCAAACCAAAGACGGCACATGAGGAGCCAGGCTCAACCTACAAGAGAAACAAGATACATATACCAATACTTTGTCAAAGTGCTATAAGGTTAAATACATTTACCATATTTGGTGGGCCATTATAACATGACCAGCATCTTCATAAAATGAAAATAGACACACAAAAAACTCCTAAGAAACAATGTTGTCTATGAAGTGTCCATAACAGTTTTAAGAAAAGGTCCTTTGACACCCAAGGTAAAGATGCCAAAGTGCAGAAATGAGAGCTGCTGTCCATCCGCGCTAGGACTGCCACATTTTAATCATTGGAAAATGGAAGGGCATGGAGAGGGGATCGTAGGTGTTACTAAGAGCTTAAAATAGTGTAGCTTAAGCTTTATTCACAACCGTGTATGCAATCACATAAGTTTGTTTGTGTCCTGATGTGTCTTGCATTAAGTTCCTTAACGAGCCTCAATGCATGAAAAAAATGCCCCTGCGATTTGTTGGGCAACGGAATGCATTACAAAGCACAGTGAATTTGCGCATTAACATGTTTGCATTTTGGTCTATTGAAGGGAATGTGCCTTTTTTTTTACACAGTGTATGGACAGAAGGGCGCAGTTCACAATGAGTTACAATGCAACTCACATATACAGTATACTGCAAGTTGTGTTGAGAATGTGCTAATGAACACATAGGTATAGGACCCTAAATCATAGTGAATACAGAAAAAGAAAGCCAGGTTTTCATTAACATTATCTTTTGAGTATTTTTATTATCTATCCCTTTGTGATAAAAATTGATTTGAACCAGGGCTAATATTTCATGTATTCAAAAAATCGTGAATAATATTGTATCTTAAATTTGGGAATCCTTCCTTAATATTATTTGAGAAACTTAGTAAGTGAAACATAATGGTAAATACATTCTCCTTCTAACACCCACAAATTTGTAATTATATTTAGAAGATTAGACAGGAATATTATAATATCCAAGTAAAAAAAGAAACCATTTTATGTAAATGATTTCAAAAGTAGAGTCAGTATAGAATTCCCTTGAGAGGGCTCAAGAAGATCTTGAGGAAACTTAGGACCTTTGAGGTCAGGAAGATACATGAGAACAAGTGGAAACTCCACTGTTGGTGAGGCAACCATCAAAGCTCATGGAGAGGTAGTAAGAATTACAAGTGTTTTGCGGGAGATGTCTTTAAGATTGTTGTTTTTTTTTTTTTAATTAACAGGGTGTATATTTCTGTTAATAGATATTCCGGATATTAAACAAGGAGGAAAAAATGTCTGAAATGTTGCTTAAGTTCTCCAGATTTTAATCATATGTTATTCTTTTTTGGTGCCATTACAAGCTTTTGGAATAAACTGGTCAAGTGGTTGCATGATATAATTGGGCAAAGAGTGTTACTGGATTTCCAGAATGTTGTATTGATGAAGGTAAAGAAGTATATTGAGAATTACTTCGTAGTTATATTAGTCTTTACAGCTTAGAAAAAGATCCAGAGAGTTCAACAAGTGCAGAAGTGCAGTCAAGCTTATATACTTTATATATATCTATATTTCCTGGCCATATCCAGCGCTGACAAATGGGTTTAGATCCAATTACCCCTAGCTGACAAGAACCAAAAGGGTTAAACAAGGCCTAACCCTCTCTATAAAAGCCCCTCCTCCTGCTGACTTCCCCAGTCTTTTTGTTCCTGTCCCTCTAGGACAGGGTTGTTTATATGTTACTGAGAAGTTTTTCTTTATTTGCCAACTGATTGATTTCGTATTGGCCTCAGGGGAGTTCAGCCTCTCGCCCATGGGAAGTCTCCAAGACTCGGCCCCGTGCAAGGGTGTCCCCTTTGGGAAGGACAAACTTTGTTTCCATGAGAGGAAGCCGGATTTTCCATATACTGTGCAGCCTGTCAGACAGGGAGGGTAAGACTGTTGTGGTTTGACTTACCTGCTGTGCTGTATGATGTCCTTTTCACCTCGGCCGCCTCCCCGCGGTCTTATCTGTTTGTGATGTGTGGGCGAGACAGGATGGGCAGTAGCGGCTTCAGCTGGCATCTGCGCATGCACGGAAGTTCCGTCGGGCGTGACGTCACCAGAGATTCAGATTCAAATTTGAATTTGTAAGCCATTTCCAGGGAATTGAAGCTAGAATTTTTTCTGTTGGTTTATCCCCCTTTGGATTCCCCCTGGAGATCCCTTAAAGAACGGGATATCATGGATGATTGCCCCTCACCACACAAGTCTGTGGAGACGAGGTAAGGGCAGTAAAAAAAAAAAAAGAGTGCATTTTATTTTTCTGACAGTCATATACTTTTATGTTGAGCCCTTATCCAACGGGCAGTAGCCAAACGGGTGAGGCAAGCTGGCCATTCCCATAAGAGAATAAGAGCAAGCAGTTCCCGATTTGCATTGTCAGATGCATGAAAGGGCGAGAGGAAGTTCTGTCACCCTCAAGCAGACACTTTGCGGGGCAGAGACGGAATGAATCTTCCTTTCCTGTGAGTATGATCACAAAGAAACTCATGAAAGAGGGCTTGTTCACACGATGTCCGGATTCTGTCCAGACCAGAGCAGTTCGCTCCTGCACTAAAACCGATCACAATGTATCCCTATGTGTTTTATGGGCCCCAGATCACACGAGCGCAGTGCTTTCCATTCCGGACAAAGAAAGATACTGCATGTCACATTTTCTCTGGTCCGGAAAGCGCACAAACGCCTCAAGACGCAACAAAAATGTGCCAGAAACGCACCGCACTGCAGCTAACTGGAAATTTTTTTTTTTTTAAATGGAATGCGTCTGGAATGCAGTAAAAACACATCAAATACACTTTCGTCCACTCTACTAGATCTGAAGGCAGTATTCCAGGCACTCCAGTATTCCAAGAACAAATACCGGTAACAAATCTTCGACACACTTGTAGAAAGATAAGGCAATCCTCAGGTGGATCTAATGGTGTCTTTCAAGAATTGCCATGTCGGCAATATTGTCGAGAATATTCAATCACAGAGTGAAAGGCCAGGGCGTTTTTTACACATCCATGGAATTACGAACTAGCTTATGTCTTTCCCCCCTTTACCATGATCATAGCAGTCCTTCAAAGGATATGGAGGGAGAAGGTGGTGGTTATTGCCGTTATCCCACATTGGCCGAGACATCCATGTTCCCTCTCTTGATGTCCCTCAACATTCTGGAATCGGGACAGATCCCAGTGACATCGGATCTCCTGTCTCAAGGGCCGGTCCAGCACCCGCATCCTCAGCACCTCTGTCTGACGGCCTGGCTGCTGAAATGGAAAGGCTGAAAAAGTCTGGATTTTCACAGGTTATTGATACGCTTTTGAAAGCCCGGAAGGTGTCCACTTCCTCCTGTATGTTGTAGCATGTGGATGGTGTTTTCCACATGGGCAATAGACCACGGCATTGTCCTTTCTCAAATCTCATCTGAGGCGATCCTGGGGTTCCTCCACACAGGTCTGGACAAAAGGATGAGCCTTAGTTCCCTCAAGGTACAGGTGTCGGCTACATCAGCCATCACTGGGATCAGGTGGACTCAGAATCAGAGCGTTTCCAAGTCTCTGAAGGCAGTGAGTAAAGTATATCCTCCTAATAGGCTTCTTTATCTGTCTTGGGATGTTTCTCTAGTTTTGGAGGCTCTTTCAGGACCTCCCTTTGAGCCAATACAGTCTATTTCTATTCAATTCTTGTCATACAAGAGGGTCTCCTTAGAAGTCTTGGCTTCAGGTGTAATGCTCTGGACTACAAATCCCAGAGACGTCAAGCTTATCTCAAGGATGAGCCCAGCTGTAAGCTTGGCAAAACATTAATTTCTATTTGTTTGTCTGTTCTTGCAGTAAACTTCAAGGAAACTGACCCAGTAGCATTAAAAGTACTTTACTTGGCGAAAATGCTGTGTATACAAACTTAGTTACAGGGAAATAAACAAATACATAAATCATAGATTCTTTTAAATGTTTTGTAATTTCTTAGGGCCTGTTTACACCGCAACGCTGAGCATTGCCATACACACCTTGTCAGCTTGAATGTGGTGAAATATCTTTTTGTAAATAGACAGTATCTTAGTACTTTTGTATATAAATTATTCACAGTATTCTACTTCATATTTAACTCATGTGTTCAGCATAGATATAACACAATTAAGGTTACCACATTACCTTAGCTGTGTTGATAGCTGCACCATAGCCAGTTGAAAACCCACAGCCAATCAAACAGACTTTATCCAGAGGGGCCGCATCATCAATTTTGGCCACGGATGTTTCAGCACAAACTGTGTATTCAGAAAAAGTGCTGGTCCCCATGAAATGGTATAACTGCTTCCCCTTGCAGCTAAACCGGCTTGTGTTATCAGCCATAAAATCTTGATCAGAGATGGCAGTTTTAATTTTGCTGTAGAAAAACAGTCAACACAAAATGTTTATGAAATTATAAGAATTTAAATGATTTAAAGAATCTGTAATTTTCTTTATTTATTATGCTCTATACTAATGTACAGAAAATGTAAACTTCCCTTTTAAACATAGAAAGGAAATATTGCATAATTAATATTTTTTTAGCATTGTGCATAAACAGGAACCCTGAAACTTCTTTTTGAAGCAGTTATGTGAAATATAGACCCAAGTGGCAGACACGCACCCCTACCTCACTCCTAACAGAGATAGAATATTAATAAGTCAACAAGAATACTAGCAGTGCTTGATGTTTAGAAAAAACAGTTGCACTCTGCAATATATTTTTACCTATTTACAAAATAATGTTTTTTTTAAAAATTGGTTAAACATCTCAGCTTTGTGAACTTAAACTAAATATATAAAATAATAAAAGAAAATCAAATCAACCAAAGCCATTATATATAGTTTACATTTACACATAGGTGGATGCTGGGAGTCATCTGTGTTACTGTGACTCAGCTCTGTGGCCCCTTAGATCCTACATTTTCTACTAACCTTCCATATTCTCTTACACATAACACATGTTCCCTGGAGATCTGCCTTAAAGATGTATAGTAAATTATTACTATTAGAAAACCATTTATTTTGATGATTGGTTGCGATACAAAAAATAATTGATAGAAATGCACAGGTTATGTACTTTCAACCAGAATAAATACAATATTTATTATACAGTACAAATGTGTTACATTGTGTACAAAATAGTGGATAATTCTCCAAACAATATAAATATTGGCATGATCTTGATTGCTACTATGGTAAAACACAGATATATAGTATGTTTTTATACCTTATTTTATGCATAAATTTGGTTGTAGTTCATTTTTAATCCACTAGATGCTCCCATATAACCTTATCTGCAAAATAAATCCTGGTCACTCTACCCGAGTCAGATTTGTTTTTGGCTTTTTTTCCTGACTGTGTTCTGGAAGATTTCCCATGCACGTTATGTCCCAGACAAGCAACAAGGAAGAGGAGAACTCTCCAAAGTAATTCCACTCTGGATGACCCACAGTGGGAACACTTCCTGTGACAACTCTTAGAGGGTTATTCACTAAGCTGTCGAAGGGAGATGAGTAAATAACCGAGCCAAAGTGAACTGAGCCGAACAGTTTACTTTCTGCCGTTCGCCCCTATTCTAATAGGGGTCGAACGGCAGTGAGTGAATAGACGAATGCCGCTGAACGGCATTCGGCTCGGCTATTCTGCTGTCTACCCGTAATGTAAACAAATTTTTTTTAAAATTATTTAAATAAATTAAAAAAATGTAAATTAAAAATAATGTTAAGAAAATAAGTAAATTTTTTTAAAAGTAAAGTAAAAAAAAAAAACAGCGTGGGTCCCCCTCCCAAACCATACCAGACCCTATAGGACTGGTAGGAATGTTAGGAGGGACCCTAAGTAAAAAAATAATTTGTGGAGTTCCCCCAAAAGTCATACCAGGCCCTTTAGGTCTGGTAGAAATTTTAAGGAGGAACCCCACCACCAAAAATAGGGGGAAAAAAGTGGGGGCCCCCGAACATTCCTAACCAGACCCTTGATCTGAACGCCCACCCACTTGGGACCACATACAGGAACAATAAGCTTTTGAAAGCTTTTGGAATTTGATTAATTTGTTCATTCTATTATTTTGTATATTCTTAGTGGTGGGTTATTGATAAGCATTGTAATTTGGTACATAAATGTCAAATTGTCATTGTAAGCAAATGAGTAAGAAAATAAACCAAATGGTAGCTGTTTGCCAGCCTTCCCTTACAAATGTGCCTCCCTAACATAGGATCTTCCCACAAAGCATGAAAACAACTAGTTTGGAACAAACCCTTCACAGTGATTTGTGGACTGTGTCAGTAAGACATTGGAGGTGATTTACTAACCTAAACACACGCACGCACCAGGTGCGTGTGATTTTCACACAGCATAACGTATTTATCAACCAAAAAGTCTCTAAAAGCATATTTCCACTAATGCCATATATGGAAAAATCATGCACATGATGCATATATAATGCTGCTTCACAGTTTAGACAAAAATGTTTAGCTCATGCATTTACATTCCTGCATTCATCAACGCAAGCAACATAACATAGAGCTAATTTACACAACATCACCTTGCAATTCATGCAGGGCTTTGCACAACACACCTGCTGGGTGTGTACACACTATAAAGGTATTTAGATTCCACCCATAGATCATGCTGGGAGGGAACACACTACAGAGGTGTATCCATGTTTGTGGTGTGTTTATAAGGTTAGTAAATCAACCCCATTATGTTGGCTGTAGGTCTGCAGTTCATAATTTTACCTGATCTTTTGACAAATATTGGTTTTGGGACTGAGACAGAATTTGCATTCCCCACATTGTGGGATATACAGAGGGATGACTTTGTCACCTAGAAAATAAGAATGCATATTGTTAAAACAAAACTTGCTTTACCATTAGGATCATATTCCTTGGCACTGCATAAGTTTGTCTGTGTATTGTAAGAAGATCACTTATTTACATTAGGTATACATAGCACAAATCTAGTTCCTTATATAGAAAGCACCAGAGCGCCATACATTTCTGGTGAGATTTCTTATTGTAAAATGACTCATGGAAAAATCTACAGCCATCCAACTCATGTTAATAATAAGGTAAATAATAAGGTGTTTTATTTCTCAAAACATACATTCTCCTGTTCTATAATGTTGAACTGGTCAGGACCCAATTTGGCTTTCACTATGATACTATTACCAAAACACAATGTTGTCTCATCAAAAGCCCATGTATGGCCACACCTGGCACGCAGTAGATTTAAATGTCCATCATTGCTTCCTCTAAGAGAAGTAGGTATCTGGAATACTTTGCATGCCACCATTAACTGTTAACATAAAAATTGTTGACAGTCTTGCTGAGATGGATAAATAATTAGTAATACATGGGCTACCATACTTACCTTCTCTGGAAAACCTGTCGCTCTGGGCTGCCCTTCATTAATGTTTATGTGGCAGGTTTTGAGAGTGTGGCGCACTGAAAGAAACATAACAAAGTCGCCGACATGTAGGCCATGAACGGTCAAACAAGGAAACAGTCAGAGACGTTAAGGTGTACAAGAGGCAGATCACACTGGAAGGTTTGATATCAGAACCACTTGAGGAAGGGGGTCCTATTCCCCAGAAGTGTTGCATCCTCTTTGGGTTATCCCTCATTTTGTGTGTTTGGTAGTAATATACTAGCGAACACAAACCATTGTATGTGGTGTATATTGCTATATGGACAAGCAAAACAAATGGCAAACGCAATCATCAACTTATCACCAGCTTTAAAGCAAGGTGCACATGGAAAGGCTTTAAACAATACAACAGCAAAACGTTTCCCAGCACACTCACCAGCCAGCAAGCAAAAAAACTTGTCTAACAGCTAAGGTTCAAAACAGAGGTTTTAGATACACGTCTTCTGCAGAAAATGTGAAAGCCGCACTGCCTCTATGTAGTGCGGTCCTAACTCTAACCTATGAGAGTGTCAGATTCCTCGCATCACCTTTCAACATCTCGTGAAGTCACGAGACGGGCCAACGAAGTCATCTTGTGGAGTCATCTCGTGGAGTCCTCTCGTGGCCCAACGAAGTACTGATGGGGTGGTCATAATAATCTGGCCACTCAGTGTATATGTGTTTCCAAGGCTCTGTACATGAATTGATGGTAATAAACTGTATGCTGTACCTGCATTGCATTTGAAATACAATTTTTTATATCTCCTCGGGTTTGTATGTTGCAATAACTCTATGACAAACAAATATAACTGGGGCGTATGAGATAGTAACTCTACAGGGGTCTAAACACCCTAACGCGATTTTTCTGGTTTGAGACAATAGTGGGCCAACCTGCCTATAACAATAACATTCCTTTGAGTGATGGCCACAAAACTATAGGACTGGCCACTTGAGGAGAATCAGTGTTCATATTGGCTGATGATCATTTTTAGCAGAGATCATGTGACAATGTGCCAAGGCTTTCAAACCATTAGCCCACACTGAAAGGAGCGTAGAACATCATTTTAATCCAGAAGAGGCAAGTATGTCAGGCTTTTGCTAGCCATTCCAGCAAGACTGTTAACAAAGCTCTATGTAAAATGAAGTTATACTCTAAGGTAACTTTTTACTCATAGAGATCGCAGTTTAACCTATAGGTGTCCCCCAGTTCTTAATCCTACTGAGGACATACAACTATTGCTACTACTATTATATAACTATAAGTATTATTCTGGAAATGTGCTGTCGTACCTGGTTTAAATTTTGTGACACCTGGTCCAACACTTTCCACGATTCCAGCCCCTTCATGGCCAAGGATTACAGGGAACAAACCTTCCTTAAAATGAGTACTCACGGCATGAGCATCAGTCCTGCACACTCCTGTGGCAACGATCTATAAAAAAAATGTGTTTTGAAAATGAAAAGCCCTATTCACATATGTGCATTCTCATGTTCAGTGTCCAGTGCCACATGTGCAGCACTACAAGTCTTTACTATAACTTTTGGTGTGAAGTCATAATATGTGTTCTTTAGACTTTAGCCTTTTAGTCTTTAAATTCACTGTTTGGATTTACAAGCATTACTCTTTTGCCCTTACAGTCTTCAGATGGCGAGCACATAGCAATTTAAAATTGGGTCTTTGGCATACATTCAGTATGAACAGCCCCAAACACAGTAACATGCAGATTACAATATTCAGTCAGATAGTGAAGCTGCCACAACATCATGGTTGGAAATATAAACCACATTGTGGTTTCTAATTATATCATTATTTTCCTGTACATTTTCTCACTTGTTTAAAATGCCCTTTTGTAATTGATTGTGGTGAAAACCAGGTGGCAGTATAACTATATGACTAGACTTAGAATGTTTGTTCTGTGTGAATAGATGCAAAAACAAACAACTGTATATTTTCTTTTCAGGTTAAATATATGTAATACTGCATTATGGCAACTAGATGGAGCTGAGGAACATAGGAAATAAACACGTTTCCTCTTTAGCTCTATCTAATGGTCAAAATTAAGTATTACATATTACATAAGTATTACATACATTCAGAAAGATTCATAGGGTGAATAGATCTGCTAACTGGTTTCAAATAGACCCCTTAGTATTATGGTTTTCAGTGCAGCTCTTAGTTGCTCATGTTTAACATTAACTATAATTTTTAAAATATATTAATAAGAATGTCCAATACTAAAGGCGTGCAATGTGCCTCTTTCTTAGTTTATCCAGTGGTGCAATTAACCTAGTGGCAAATAAGCAATCTACAGCAAACATAAGCATGCATTGGACTGTCACAATCTGGTAAAGATGTAGTAATAATCTACAGCAAATAAAGATGTTGGCACTATGGCTTCACTTTTGGATTCTAAAAATAAACTCTTCTGACAAACTAACAATAGCCTCCCATGTAGCTTTATTAAAATATATGTAAACTCAGGAACAAAAACATTATATATTGAAGATTACAAGTCCTTCGATGTGGTGGCTTCATTAGTTATACTTTTGAAGGCTAAGAAAATTTTCTGCAAGCACATAATATGTGTTGAACCTGTCAGAAGTCTTGTGTCTGAACTGAAACCTCAAACAATGTTATCAGCTATCTTCTGTGAACTACAAATCTCCTCGCTCCTGGATGTAATAAAGATGAGGAATAGGGAGGTTTTTGTTGTTCTAACCAGAAGAACAGCCTAGGGTGACAACACTGCTAGCCCATAGATGTAGTACAGTGAGCTTTGCCACTCTAGAACAGGAAGTGTGTTACATGCAGGATCACAGGGTGAAAGTAAAGTTAAATTAACCGGATAAAAAGAAAATTAATGCAGCTACTACATCTAAGGATTTGTAAGCTGCAATACATTTTAGTTTTTTGGGTTTACATATACTTTAAATCAAATATTCTTTCTGTGGCCCTGGTTTAATCCAGTCATAAATTTGTGCTGCTTTAGTGCACACCTTTTATTGTATACAGCAAGAGTATAGAATTTCCTTAATTGCTTTTAGTTTATCATTTTGCAACAAATATAGAGAATCTATGTTTATGGAACACTGGTGAATACTACATGAAAGATTCACAACCTTGTCAAAGGGAAAACATTGTGCACTGGGCTGCTGTATGGAATAAACAATGTAAAACTATGCTAGTGTATATGGTCATGCTGCTGCCTTTTATCTGATTTCACAATACGTTTTTGACTATTTGCTTTTTTTTACAGTCATACCTTTTAACAGTTACAGTATTTAATATCAGTGAGAGAAGAAAATATTATACCGTGCTACAGACTAATGTGTCCGAATATGAATTCCCTGTACTACTTTGTTCTGCTACATTGTTATAATTTTCAGTCATCCACCAACCTTCACCCAACCACAGAAAGAACAATGATATGTAATAAATGGAAAGCTTTTGAGCTACTTGCTTTTCAGTGCACTCTTTGAAAGACAAAATTATGTAACCTAAAGCTTTGCTCCTAAAGCAGGAAATAGGAAGGTGTCTCCAACAATGTCCTGTTTCCTCAGGTTTTGACTGTGGCCATTATGCAACCAAGAGTGTCTCTTTGTTCTTGTCATTTATAAAACTTGCAATCATGTGTATTCAACTGATAAATGTATGTGCTACTGCAGCTCACAATCAGAAAAAATAACACCAACTACACATAACATGACTGAATGCAATTTAAAGGAAACCTGTAGTGAAGGAGCGTGGATACTGCCAAAGCTAACCTTTCTCTGGAAATAACAGTTCCCCAGTTGGCATGCTGATCCAGTGGTTTCAGAACATTATAAAGCTCATAATACATGTTACAATCTCACCATATAATCCTTGTACAATCAGTTTTAGATTTACCAAAATGTTGTAATCTGAGGACCTACTTAAACTAAAGAATCAATATGAATCCAATCAGACAGGCCCTTGCTCAATATAGTTATTGGTAGAACCAAAGGTGATTTTTCTGTTTTAATGCATGTGGGGAATCTAAGGGCAGAGAACTACACTAGAATGTATGGTGTACGGCCCTCTTTCAACAGTGTGTATGAACCCTTAGTCACTAGATATAAAGGAGAATTATGGGGAGAGTGAAATACACTATTGATCGGAAACTGAACGATCACATACCACTGATCGCTGAGTTTCCGAAGTTCTCCCTGCTGAGACTGACAGTCACCACTCACTGCAGGGATTCCCCCCTCCCCTCTCCATTTCTCCAGCACTCATTGGAGGGTCGGAAGAGGGAGGGGGCTGGCACAGTTGGCTCTGTCCCTAGAGAGGCAGAACCAACTGTCAATCAGGCAGAGGGATGGATCCCAACAATATTGTCGGGATCCTTCCCAGCTACAGGGGCGCTCTGCGCTATCAGCATATAGAGGGCGATAGTATATGTCCTCCTGTGACCCTAAAGAGAACTATGGCAAAAAAAGGTTGGCATTGTTCTCTTTTTAAGAAGTGTGCAGTCTAGTTCTGCATGTTTGTTCCAGGTCACTGTCGATAAGTACTGCAGCTGGAGACAGCCAGAAATTTTAGAAGGTGGTCAGAAAGAAATGGCAGCCTCAATATCTTGTATTATATAGATATAGATAGATATAGATATCTACATATCTATATCTATCTATATCTATAAATAGATATAGATATATAGATATCTATATCTATCTATCTATATATACA